GAGATGGGCATCGCTGCCTACGCCGACGGCCAGAGGCCCGCGCATCTACATTTTTTCGCCTGACCCCATCAGTGCCGACCCAACTACACCACCACGCGCATGCCTCGCGGCGGATATGCGCAGCAGCAAGAAGGTTTCGGTCATCCCTTGAGGGTGAATCTAGCCCTGCTCGCCAGAAAGACCCCCCCCTTCACTACAACCCATGTCTAAGCAAAAGCTTGTCGAGGAGCGAGGGGAAGAAGGGAGAAGCCATACCATAAGCCATACCATACTTAGTGAGAATGGAACAACTAATCTCAAGCGTATGGCATTTTCGTGTTTCTGAAACGGCGGTGGGGTCCATTCGTCACTCTCGACTGAGCGCGAAACGCTATTTCGATACCGATGTGGTCATATCGTGGATGGAGACGGGTCACAGCCAGTTGGACTGCTCCAGTGCCCCCTTTCCTAGCCGGGTAGCGTAGACCCGTCGGTCGCGTTAGTTCTACGTCCCTACCCGTGCCCTCCACGAGCGCGCTCGTCGGATGCTCGTATGAATGCGCAAGCTCTATCATACTTGCATGCACCGTCGTCAAACAGAGCACCTCCCGGATCCGATGCGCGACGAGCAAACAGCACACAGCATACAAAAGAGAGACTAGGCGTTCCAGAAAAAGAGGATCTACCACTCACGTGTTCGTTCCGTGAACGAACAACAAATCGAACGCATACTACAATGGTAAAATACAAACGGGCAATAGGCCGAAGAAAACGAACAGAAAATCGGGAGGGACGGCCCTTCCTTCGTCACGACGGGCAAGACCACAACAACAACCAGCATCAAAGAGTTTATCTACAGACAGACAAGGACCCGATCGCGAAACGACGGATATTACAAGCGGCCGTTTGCCGCACCCATCCAACCGCCTCCTCTTAACGTGGCTTCGGCTCCGATCCCCGGGTCGTCCACGACAGCCACCGCCCTTCTCGTCTCTGAGCTGACGCTGTGGCTCCTGTTATGAGCGTGGTAGTCGTCGTAGTAGTTGTCGCTGCTCTTTCTGCGCACGGGGGCCGGCAGCACCGACCTGCTGCAAGGCTCGCCGCGGCTTGACATGGACGACATGGGGAACGACGCTCGTCGCTCTCGAGGGCGATGCTGGGGGTGATTATTGTGTCGCCTTGACTGCGGTGCCAAGCCCGAAGCTGTTCTGGACGCCCGTGGCGTCGGCGTCACGGTGTACGCGGGTGAATGGCGTACCCCGAACTCAACCTCATCTTCGGGAGTTATCTTGAGGAGGTCGTCGAGGTACCAGTGGTGATGGCGTTGGCGGTGTGACTTCGACCGCGCGTGCCACGTATATTAGGGCGTACGGCAGGGCATGCCGAGGCACGGACGCATTTTAGGGACAGGAGTCAGGGTCGACGGATGGAAACGGAGAGTTTCGATGAGATATGAGCAAAGTCTATGAAAGCAGGGTTCTCAACAGGGTTCATCAGCTGTCTGCTCCTGTCAGATGGATGGAGCGTGTTATGGCCGTGCGCGTACCTGGCGTTCCGAGCTTGGAAATGAACTGACTCCGACCACCAATATATTAGAAGTATTTAGCAGGCACCCTAAGTACCCTTCTCAGTTGGTTCTGTCTAGAAGTCGTCTGCTGCTTCGTCCTTTTCGGCGCAGACAACGGCGATATTGGTGTCCCTACTGGAGTACCTTATTATGCTTGGTGTGGCCGTGAAACGCAACTATCCAGGCCAAACTTGCCGAGAACGGGGCTGGTTGTCATGCTACCTGACATCCCCACCCACGGAAACACGATGCCCACCTTGCTGTCCCGGGCATCACATTTTTCTCTCTCTCCTGTTTCTCGCGGTCGACCACGATCCTGTCGTTCCTGCTGCTCCTGCCGCTGCTGGTGGTGCTTCTGCTGGTGCACGTGCTGGTCCTGCCGTACGACAACGCCCTTTGGTTGCCGCCCTGAACCAGACAACCAACGATTTCAAGCAAAATGGCTGTGTAGATAGACTCGTGTGGCGGCGTCTGCGGGCGGGGTTTGCCCGAATGAGGCGATCACATAATACCATCTTGTGTGTGGTAGCAAGTGGACGAGAGGTATGAAGGAGCGCTCCTAGCAACTCTAGGCCAGGAGGCGAGGGAAGTCGACTACTGGTGCGATTTTACGGCAACAATCGAAGCCGGCCACACAGGTGCTGCCTGCCCTACTTCAAGGTTGGAAGTTCCAAGAATGTCAGTTCAAGAGATACCATGCGTAGGATTCCCAAAGGGGAACGATTCTCCGGAGTAGCGGGAGACGTTCATGGATCTCCGTTCTCTGATCTGTCGCCATACGCTGTGATGGATGGACCACTAAGGCTTCTGTTGACGAGTTGCTTGCGTTTGATGGGAATTTCGCGAGTACACTTACCATCCGGCCTGTGATACTTCGCCCTCCCGCTGAGGACGAACGGCCGGACGGCAAGAGTGTGGACCAAACCCTGGACCGGGGTTGTAAGCGGAGTGGCGTGGCATGGCCCTCGGGTACTTCAACTTAGATAGGTTTGCCGTCTTGTTTCGAGATAGAAACACTCCCATAATTTACCCGTTAGAAACAAACTATTCCCTCAAGGGCGCTCATCAATCTCTGCCGTCATGAATCTTGTAGTGATGACCGATGCCAATACGCCAGTCGGATAGGCAGGGCGAGGCCGGATGCGTCTAAGTCTTCATTTTTTTCCAACGGGGCGTTCGTTCGACGTAAGAAGCACAAGGTACGCCAGCAAATAGGTGTGTGGTCAGTGAAAGAGATGGTTCGGATTTGGTCCCAAAAAAGGCGCACAAAGAAAAAAAAACGCAGTCATACCGTGTTCCACGCCGAGAAGCTCCCGACAACTCCGAACAAGCGGGGTCACCATGTAGCAGGAGCACAGCCCGCAGATCGCCACCAACACGCAGAAAGCTGCCACCCATAGAAACCACCTGGTGGAAAGAAGCGATAGAGGAATAGAGGGACCTCATTCGACCACCCACGAAGCAGTAACATGCCACACGCTCACGGTCAGTACACCTACCTTCCCAGAGAGCATTCATTGCAGTCTCAAGAACGATTACCAGGTCAGGGAAGGTCTAGAGTACATGCTTTGTGGCGACCCTCTAAATGAGTTGACCAAGCATCGAGAGATACCGCAGAGTCTGAGATGTTGTGTGGGAATAGCGGCCACAGCATCGCCGGCCCCGCCTAGATCCCGTGCGGAAAGTGATACGAATTCGGTGGTTGGCACAATTTCCTTACAGGGTCACGAATGAACACCGAAACAAAAACACAATTACTTTCGTGTACACAAGTGTCCTGAAGTATTTTCGCTGTGAGAAACAATAGCCTAACAATGACCACGACATACAACGACAACGGGGTAATGAAATACCACAATATATGAGATGGATGTCTCCATGTTTGCGAGTGGCTAAGTTCCCTTCGGGATGTGTGGTGTGGATACACACCGACCGGTACAACCTCTTATGGAGAGGCTGAAGACGTACGAGTTGTGTTGTGAGTCAGGGGGGGAGCGAGCCCGCTGCAGCAGGGTTCAGCGTCCACCATACACTGACCCTATCCTTGGCAACACCCCGACGATAGATCTCCGACAGGTAATCTCACGTCACAATCTACGAGAGTCTGAGGCGACATTCACAACACCCCTCTATCTTCAGCCTCGGGGCCTGAATCCGGATTGAAAGATACAAGAATGACATGGATATCGCAGAGTGTTACAGTTGAGGCCCGCACTTAAGAACCTCCAATTTTGAGCGAGGCTCAGTTCTTAATTGGCTGCCCCAACCCGAGCACGTGTTCTTATTGGCCATGTTCTTATTTCGTCGTCCCATTTTTCTCCAGCGAAATCTTCTTGTTCTTATTTCAACACCAATTGGCCCTGTTGGCGTACGTTGTATGACGACGTACTTTGTTGGCGGCTGTCAACTGCACTCGGCGGAGCGTATATTGTGTTAGCATGAGGAACAATGCTGCTGTTTGGTACAAAAACACACCAAGGCATGCAGCAGCAACTGTCAACCATCTTGGTCCACAAGGGTGACGTTGGTCCTGCGTACCCTCCCCGATCTACTAACGCTCTCAAGCAAAACGCAGGAGCCTACCGCCGCATCCAGATCTCCGGCGTACTTGTCTAAGGGCAGCTTCATCTTGCGCGTACTCTGGTCTAGCTCCAGTAGTCGTGCAGGTGGACAGGTGGCGAGTGTCCTGCTGAGATTGCTGAATGATCAACCCTTCAAACCACCCCATCCCCAGCCTAACGAGCACTCCACGTCGCAAAAGCAATTTGTCAAGAGCAACGGGTTTAACTTCTTGAATGCGAAAGCCTGTCGGGATCTCCATTCCTTGTGTCTCGTGCTCCGGGTCTTGTGGGTCCATGCTGTCGTCGTCGTCGAGAAGAGCTAGCTCATCGGTCTGGGTTTGAGACGTGCCTGCGAACGGGGCACCGTGAAACACCACAAGAACTACGGTGTCACGGCCGAACTTCAACATGAACCCATCATATTTGCTCGTAGTCGTGAACGCGGAAACAGCACATCAGCAAAATCCAAGCAAATATCGACATGGACAATGTCATCAACAAGGAAATGGCGAAGATTGGGTCTAGTGCAAATCAAACTTACCGCAGTCGTGTTCATCATCGCTGGAATCAGCGCCCTCCACGACCGTCTCACGTCCATCGCCCTCCTTCCCCTGCCCCTCAGGCTCGTCGCTGCCGTTCTCCAAACCTTCTTCGTCCTCGCTACAGTTTTTATCGTTTGCGAAGGTGTACGACTTGTCCAAACCCTCCAAGGTGATCCGATCATTGCCTGAGCCGTCCACAGTCGTGACCATCCCGCACTTTTCGAAAAGGCGGAATCGGAACGCCTGTTGGCTGTTGAGTCTTGCCATGGCCGCTCCAATCCACTGAGTGATCAGTACCCGTCCATCAGAAGCTGTCAGCGCCGCGGTTTCCCACCTCTCGAGGTTGTCCGACTGCTCGAGCCGCATGTCCATCTGCCTCCCAGCTTCCACCTTGATAAATCGTCCGGCTCATGCATCAACTGGCTGCACCTCCTCCGTGCACTCCGAAGGGCCATACCAGGCGAGAGTGTTGCACTCCTTCGCAAGATACTCCTTGAACTCGTCCGTCGTCTGCGCGTGCAAGTTGGTGCCTGGCGATACCCCAGCGAGCGACAGCGGTGGAACCACGATCGACAAGCGCGTGACGGAGCTGTCCATGAGGCTGGAGGAGCAAAGCAAGGTGCTGTCGGCTGTCATGGAGAAGCAAGGGCAAATTCAGTTGCCGCCTGCCAGGGCGGCAGGGGCAGAAGAGGGGGAGTCAAGCGGCGCTGGCAACGCCGCAGGGAGCGGAGGAGCCGCGCCGGGCACACGTTTTCGGGTGCCACCCGGTGGAGTCGGGGGAGTAGGTCCCCCGGGCCACCCATCCGCTGGCCCGCTAGGAAGCAAAGCGGAGGGATTTTGGATGCAGGGGATGATGGACAAGATGTCATCGCCGCTGCAGGCAAAAACAGATTGCGGAAGCCAAGGGGGGTCAGGCGGTGCTGGGAGAAGCACCGCATCATGCTGTGGGATTGTCGGAATCTCGCCGCCAGGAAGCTGCTTATCAGAGCTGCACGCTGCGGCTGGCGTTAGAACAGATGACGCCGCTGGAAGAGAGAGCAGCAGTAGATCGGGCACGGAAGGTGAACCGGTGCGGGCGTTTGACGTCCCTGCAAAAGGTGAGTTTGGTGGGTTCTAGACCATCGACCTTCTCTGTACGGTTGGCAGCTCGAGCAGAGGCGCTGCTGGGGGTAGCTTGACTGCCACGGGCACACGGAACGAGGTGTCAGGAGGTGGAGCCTGGAGGATAATCCTTCGGGGCCACACACATGAGCGACCTGTTGGGACCGGCCCAGTGACAAGGCCGCGAAGGGGCGTCGGCGTCGGCGGTGGAGTAGCGGGCGGCACAGCACACGAGCCTGTTGATCNCCCCTGCAAAAGGTGAGTTTGGTGGGTTCTAGACCATCGACCTTCTCTGTACGGTTGGCAGCTCGAGCAGAGGCGCTGCTGGGGGTAGCTTGACTGCCACGGGCACACGGAACGAGGTGTCAGGAGGTGGAGCCTGGAGGATAATCCTTCGGGGCCACACACATGAGCGACCTGTTGGGACCGGCCCAGTGACAAGGCCGCGAAGGGGCGTCGGCGTCGGCGGTGGAGTAGCGGGCGGCACAGCACACGAGCCTGTTGATCGCGGGAAAGTACTCGCTCCGGGAGAACTGGAGGATTGCACTCATGGCGATTCTGGTGAACGTGGAATTGCTGCAGAGGTGCAAGGGCGAGACCGCGAAATCTGCTGTGCGTTTGAACGAGGGCCAACAACAGCGTGGTGTTGCCGCGGGACGCTTCCTTCTGGTTGAGATTCGTGAGTAATATTGAACGATTTTGCTTGTGACGAATGATACCGAAAATTTCTACAGGGGATTCGCGGTTAAGGCGTTTCCATTTCTGATTTGGTGTTCGTAGAGCGATGGTAGCTTCGCTTACGATGATACGACCAATGATGATTTTTGAAAAGGGATTCGCGGTTCAGGCGTTTCCAATCTTGAGTGTGGGTGTTTTGTTGAGCAATTGTAGTTCAATTTTTTCGATGGTGAAGTCCAGGCGTGTTATCGCGGGTGGTTCGTACGACGATGGTAATTCGGCTCCGAAACCCAGCCTCTGTATGATGGGGATTCGCGGTACAGGCGCTTCCATTTCATGATGTCCGCGGGCGATGGAAACTTTGTCTGGGGCAGAATGAAAGGGGTACGCGGGACCAGGCGTATCAAAGGAGGGGATGCAGCATAGGCGCTCCCCACAGCCGATGAAAATTCACGAACGGAGATAAACCAGTATCTAGCGTGTCAGATAAACAGAAGGGGTACACAGGATCAGGTGTATCAGATGAGGGGATGCAGCACAGGCGCTCCCGGCAGCCGATGAAAGCTCACGCGCAGAGATAAACCAGTATCTAGCGTGTCGGCTGAAGAGAAGGGTTACGCGGGACCAGGCGTACCAAATGAGGGGATGCAGCACAGGCGCTCCCCGCGGCCGATAAAAACTCACGCACAGGGGTAAAACAGTATCCAGCGCGTCGGCTGAAAAAAAGGGGGTACACGGGACCCGGTGCATCAAAAGTTGCAGACACTGGGGCAGATTAAATTTTGCTGGCGTCAACATGAGGTGGAAAGGGGGAGGGAGAAAACTGTTGTTGGTGACATTTCCGTTGTTGCTGCAGGTAGGTGTGGACCCATGTACCAGACGTATCCACCTTATTGAGGGATTCGAAGTAGCAAGGCGTCTCCACAATCTACATCAGTGTTTGTCTTAGAGAAGGGGAGAAGCCCTATGATTTGAATCACTGTGTTTGTAGGAGGAAAGGAAGCCTCAGCAATGATAAGTTCTCGATGCAGTAGATAGTCTGGCGTGTTTTCCGCGAGCGTTGAATGCAGGAGGTATTGTGTGTGGCGCACCACCCGCAGCAAAGAGCGAGGGAGGTTATCGCACGACATGATGGACCGCAGTTTTCTTCGAGTGAGGGAGAGCAGTCATATCGACGCGTGCTGTATGGCGGTTGAGAATTGGAACTTTGTTTTTTCTGAGAGTCGAAGAGTTGTGTGTAAGCAGGCTGAAGTTTGAATCTCTGAGAGTCCGAGTAAGAGTTGCATGCAAGAAGGCTTATCATGCTTGATGTGTTTGACAAAACAGCTGTTCCAAGATGATAGCATACACCACAAACCCCGGGGGCGCCGCGAAGCGCCGGTATCAAGGGGGATGGAGGAAGTTAGGTGCTCAGATCATCGATAGTTGTTCGTCGAGCGGGGAGGGCAGTAGGAGTAAATTGCAACGGACATTTGTTTGGGCTTTGTGGGAGCAAAATCGTGGCAGTGGCTGCAGACTTTTTTGACTTTGTTGGGTACTAGGAAGAAGGTGATATTGAAACGTGGCGGGAAGGTTACCCGGATCGACTACGTTGTCGACGTTATCCTGTTTGCGCCTTTATCTTGCTGTTTCGTAGTACCATCCTTGGGGAGGAGGCGTTTTGACCCGGTGGCCGGGTTTCCCCATTGGTTTTTATTGATTTGTTGTTTTTGTAGAAAAACCTGACTTGAGGTGGCGGGAGCACGCATCCCACGAAAGTGGTTAGTTACTTTTGCGTAAAGAACCAGGGAGGGTATTCGTGTGAGTGCGTATGTAGTCGGATCTGTAGACGAGATGACTGTTCAGGTGCCCTGCACATAGGTATGCGTTGGGTAGTACGACGAGGGAATGATTGTGCGGGGCTCCCACGCCAGCTGCTGTCAGCTGTCGTGTGCGTGGCACTCCCTGCTCTTTCCCCCCAACCGGATGTGAGAGATAACAAGCATCTAAACATCAAGCACTACAGTCTCTACAAAGACAATAAGGGCATACCACTTAGGGTTAACGAATACACTCCAAATCGTCCGCATCCACTCGTCCCATTGCTGTGCTTTAGTCCCGGTCCACAAAAACTGTCACTGTCAAGCTGGTGAAGCAACTTCCGTCGACCCAGCGCCGTGGAGCGTCCGCTGCCCGTGGTCGAGCCAGTGGAAGTGGTGGATATCGTCGTCCGTCCATTGAACCGTGTACTCACCCGACCTGTCGTTCCCACGCCTCCCTTGGGGGGAGTGGGCGGTTCGAAGTCGAGGACGGACTCCCCGTCGCCCGCGTCCTCCTCGGCTTGAACAGGAGCTGCCGATTGTTCTCTTTCTTCCTTTTCATAGCGAGCGCAATGAAGGTCCACCACCCAATCAAGACCTCGAGAATCACACGCACTGCGCTGATGCCAACTATGAGACGGATGTCTCCAGGTTTGCGCGTGGCTGAGTTCCCTTCGGGATGTGTGGTGTGGATACACACCGACCGGCTCAAAACCTCTCATGGGAGAGGCTGAAGACGTACGGATTGTGTTGTAAGTCAGGGGGGGAGCGAGCCCGCTGCAGCAGGGTTCAGCATCCACCATACACGGACTCTACCTGTGGCAACATCCCGACGGTAGATCTCCGACAGGTCATCTGACGTCGCAATCTACGAGAGTCTGAGGTGACATTCACAAATCGAAGCATCCCGATAAGAAGCAAATGGTTGCATGGAGAACAAATAGCACGGACGGAGCCGCGGCCATTGGAGCGTGAGCTGCTGTACACTACGGCAGAATGCTATCTGGGAGGAGTCATATTGTCAGTTTTTACATTCTGTACTCCGGAACAAATGGAAAAAATGTTACCCACAAAGGAGATATCGCTGTGTGCTGCTCGGATAATCGTGGAAATACAGAAGCTTCGCTGAAGCCATGGATTCATTACTAATATATCTTCGACTCTTTTCCATGTATCTAGATAGAGATGCAGTCGTTGGGTTATAATTTACATAGTCTACTGAGAGAATACGAAAAAAGATGAGGAAACAAGTGGGACCGCGCGCCCCCAGGACGCCAAATCACAGATCCGGGCGTGCAAAGCGCGCGCATTGTCCCTGGTCCAGCATCCCTATACCCTATAAGTCGCCTTTGCTCTTCTCAGGAAGATTCTTGTTGCATCTTGTCCGCAAAGAGGCCGCTTGCTTCGCAAAAAGGAAGCGTGTGTAATTCTCAAGCTGTGACCGCCGCCGTCCTATGCCCGCCCAACTTCAACTTGACTCTGTATAGAGCCAGTTTCAATACAAGCCGCATGCACATGTCAGCAGTTCGCAATTCCTTGATGGTGGCGGTGCCGTTTGCTGCAGGCGAACTGGCATGCGTGCGCCATGCCGATTGCTCTCTGGGGTGTGTAGGTAGGCTTGGTCGACATTGACTGCTGTTTCACCACAGAGCGGGACTGCTGTTGTTCAGTCCAGCGTTCTAGGTTCCTGCTGCTGCTGTGCTACCTTTCGGCGATCGGTGTCCGGACGGGGTTGGTTGAACAAACACACCACCGCAATCTATGCATTGCGTCCCTACATCGGCGCACGAGAATGCGATACATGGCATGAACGATATCTCATTAGCTCTTGAGAAACAAGGTCCCAACATTAGGTGGGCGCAGCTCTCTCGCTCCCTCTCTCACCCATTCTCCTCGCAGTTGTGCAGCTTTTCCAGAAAGTCACCTTCGCAAGGCGTCGCCGGGGCTGGAGTTCCCGCCACCACACCCGTGTCTCCGCCGGGAATATTGTAAGACATTACCCCCCTCCCCGCCAACGACACACCGAAGAATGAGGGAGAGAGGGAGACCTTGTGTGCGCGTCGCTATGTGAGCCACTGTTGCTGTACAGCACACACACAGCAGGCTCAGGATCCGTACCTGCGGGAAAAAAAAAAATGAACGCACGCACATCTATTTCTTGCAAAAAAAAAAAATGTCTCCGTCCCCATGACTTGGATCTATCTCCTTGGATGCCAGTACGTATCCAAATAGATTCCCAGCCAAAAAATGGTTACCTTCTCTAGTTATCGTTATGATGATGGCTTTTTTCCAGGTCAGCCAGTAGCTTCCTGAGGGGATGTCCCGATGTCCCAATGTCAACGGCGGCGGGACGAGGCGGGGCAGGGGGGTGGAGTGCTTCATTCGATGGTCGAATGGTTGATGTCGCCGCCAAGAGTATCCCAGTATCCAGATCTACTCTTCTAATTGTATCGTTCTTTCTACCTCACCGGCAGAGGGACTATTTTGTCTGTCCCCGGGGTATGGTCGTTACCCGAGGTGCTCCTGAACTTCGAAGCCGATCATAGAGAGACGGCGTGCCCACCAAAGCGTTTGAACTCTTTCATGATATGTAGTCTACATGATCCGACTGGAAGCTAGGGCGAGCGACGTTTTTTTGAGAGGGCGTGGCTGTCGAGAAAAAAAAAATACACCTCAATGGTGCATGGTGCAACTACTTGTAATCGTCCAGTGGTGACCGGGTTTACAGGACAACCCGGCCAAACAACGGCATACGTGCGTACGTTTTCTGACGTCCAGCAATCAGCATCAATGCATCGAATCGAAGGAGAAATCGCAACACGACCAAACGAAGTGATACGCATTAGTCAAAGTACACAAGACTTCCGACTCCACCAACCAATCAGATATTCGCCGGTAGGTTTTGCTTCGACGGATGCGATCGACTTTGCTGGTTATACGACGACGGACACGAAACTACTGAGTGAAGAACACCTTCATACAACACGCGGATCGATCGGCCCGCTGCTGAAACGAACGTCGCGTGCAGCCGGTAGCTGTCTTCGATTTTGGCTCCGCCTACCAAGTGCCGGCTTCTTGTGTGCGTTCGTTAGACCAAACTAACGCGTAGTACGGGACGGCTGCTGGCTGTTAAATAATGCAGATTTCTGTGGAGGAAGAAGAGGATTTCATTTGTTCAGTTGAGCTGTCACATCGGTATCCGCCCAGCGCCGCGACGACCTCATCGTCTCCGTTCGTTGGCGCGCAGCAGTTTTGGGTGCCTTGGTCTCCGCCCACGTCGCCACCATTACGGGGGCCCAAGACGACCCAAAGCGACATTGAAAAAGGGACAGCACCACTGCTACAAGCAAACATAGTGTTCATGGCTGGCTGCGAATCTACAAGTGAGCGCGCTCTCGAGCACCCAGCGCGATATGGGTGTATTGCTTTCGACTTCCGCCAACAGAGCCGGAAACCTGCACAACCACACCCACCTGCCACTACAGAAATGCTTTGATGCCGTGCCGAGCTATTCGCATCCTGCTCTGGGTCTCGTGGCTCAACAGACCTGGCAGCAAGCTTTCTTTCTCGGTTCCGGGTGAGCCGTCATATATTTTGTTGCTCAGCACAACCGCAGCTATCGGCACAGCAAAACGCCTCTACAACAGCACTTTTGTGGCGTGGAAAGCCATCTGTTTCAACAAAAGAAAATAAAGGCTGCGGGGTTTGGATTTGTCTAACCGCTACTCATGGCGGAAGGAAGCCAATCGAGACAGAAAACCTTTTCCGACAGGATACACGCAGGCAGCTCACACCACACCAAAAATCTCCACCCGATGGCTGCTTTCGTGAGTCGAACACCAAATGACGGTATGTGAAGCAATATCGTAGATTCTTCTAGACTATGCATACCGCACACAAAAGAACCAACGAGGAAGAAATAAGGTAAAACAAACGGACACAGACCGATTTCACCCACCAAACCAAAGCAAACAAATTCTCAACAACGAGTCTGCGAGCTATCAACTAGCTCACCCAGACCTGATGATGTCCAAAACACATAAAAAGGCGTGGCGAGAAACTCAAGCGGAGCAAGGAAACTATCAAAGCTCCCCAAGACACAAAAAAAGGTGAAGTGAGAAACTCCGGCGAAGCAAACAAAAAACAATCATCAAAGCTCCATTTTGGTAGCGTCTGCCCCCGCATCCTCAGCTGGCGGCTGGTAGTCGAAGTCCTTAGCCGTTCGGCCCTCCTTATCCTTGAGGGACGCATCCGCCCCGCTTGTCAACAAAAGGTCGATGATCGACTGAACAATGTGCGGCGATTTCACGTACCGCACAAAAAATGGAAACGGAATCGTTAGGGCGCAGGGGTGTAGGGCAGGGTAGGGGTCAAACAAGGCGTTCCAAGACGAAGCCCGGAAGACGAAGCTCCCGCAGCGCACTGCTGCCCGGTCAAAATGGAAGGCGTCTTTTTGTAGCGTAGGAGACATGGCGTCAGACATCACATCCCCTGGACCGATCGATGCTCGAAAGCTCGATCTCTCCACAGCAGAAAGAGTGACGGTGCCGACAATGGCGGTGTTGGAGCCGTCTTGTCGAGGGCTCTCCGAAATCGGATCGTGGCGTTCATTTGATCCATCCCATTCGTCGTGGAGAGATCGAGATTGAAAATCAGTCTAGGGTGTAGTATCTTACGCCATGTTACCTACGTTACAAATCAGGACATACCCGACTTCCGCGGTGTATTTATACTACAAAAGCGTTCAAAATACTTGAGATTTCAAAATTCGTTTTTTTCCTGTTGTCTTCGAAAACGACATCGGGATCGAAAGAGCGGCAGGATGCATACACGATAAAAGGATTTTACGCGTGCATTGTTTTCGAAACAAACCTCGGAACGAAAAGAGCGAAGGATGAATAAACGAAAGCTGACTCTCTTCTCGCAAGAGAGAGAGAGAGAGAGAGAGAGAGAGAGAGAGAGAGAGAGAGAGAGAGAGAGAGA